GGCTGAGGCCATTTATTAGTCATAATCTAGATGCTTTGGAGGTTAAAGAAACTCACGCATTATTGGCAACTAATGTGGGAAAAGGGGATAAGAAGAAGCTGGAAATTCTTCAAAATTTGCAGACTTATCCCAGTTTAGAGGAATTGGGAGATGAAAATCCCCCGCCTTATGCTCCGGCACCAGTCACTCCAGCAGGAGCTCTCTCGTCTTCAAGGGTTACCTCAACTACGGAGTTGGGGTCACCTCTGGGAAGAGATGAACCCCAGGGTGTGAATAATGGGGTGCCGGGACACACACAGCGGAGGGAATATGAACTGCGAAGTTCAAGGGTACAAATGTACCCACTCCGAGCCCTACGCTCAGGGCCAGACGGGGAGAGAACTTATCAATATTGGCCATTTTCTTCCAGCGATCTATATAACTGGAAGAGTCAAAATCCRTCATTTTCGGAAAAACCTGCGGCCTTAATAGACCTTATAGAGTCTATACTGTTCACTCACAATCCCACTTGGGATGATTGTCAACAATTGTTAAAAATTTTGTTCACCACAGAGGAACGGGAGAGAATCCTAGCAGAAGTGCGTAAGTGTGTACCTGGGGTAGATGGGCGACCCACCACCCAACCCCACCTGATAGATGACGGATTCCCTCTTGCGAGACCTCCGTGGGACTTCAACCAGGCTGAAGGTAGGGAGCRTCTCCGAATATACCACCAGACTCTGATGGCAGGGCTGCGAGCAGCAGCACGTAAACCCACCAATTTGGCTAAGGTTAATGCGGTCAGACAGGATTGGGGGAACAGACAGTACAAGATCTGTTAAAAGTAGCAGGGAAGGTTTATAATAACCGAGAAACACCAGAGGAGAGACAGGAGAGAATAAGGAAGGAGGATCAGGAATTCCAAGCCCGAGAGAACAGACGGAATCAAAAGGAGTTAGCTAAGATCCTGTATGCAGGGAAAGGAGGAATAGAGAGTACAGCGGCAAGTGGGAAAAGGGAAGGAAGAGGAAGGTTGGAGCGCGATCAATGTGCGATATGTAAAAAGAGGGGGCACTGGAAGAATGAATGTCCAGAGAGGAAGAAGGAAAAAATTGGGGAAGGAGGAGGGCTCCAGAATTATAAAAGGCGAGTCCAAGTACTGATGGCTGAGCACGGAGAGGAAAGCGACTGAGGGTGTCGGGACTCGGCCCCCTTCCCCGAGTCCTGGGTAACGCTTGGAGTGGAAGGGAAGCRGATAGGATTCTTAGTAGATACCGGGGCTGAACATTCGGTTTTAAATAAAAATACAGGGAAACTGGCTGAAAGGACCAGTCTGGTTCAGGGGGTTAACGGAGTGAAACCCTATCACTGGACCACAAATCGGTGGGTGTATCTGGGGACAAAACAGGTTACGCATTCTTTTATATATGTTCCGGAATGTCCTGCCCCGTTATTAGGAAGAGATTTATTAACTAAGCTTAGGGCCAGAATACATTTTGAGGAAGGAGGTGTAAAAATAAGTGATGGGGAGGGAAATCCTTTACATGTTTTGACGATGAGGTTGGAAGATGAATATCGAATATATCAGCCTAGGAGAATAGAAGGGATTACCCAGGAAATAATGGAATGGGTAGAGAAGATCCCTGAGGTCTGGGCAGAAACAGCGGGGGTCGGGAGGGCTGCCCATAGAGCCCCAATAATTGTGGAACTGAAACCAGGGGCCAGGCCGGTGAGAGTGAGACAGTATCCCATGACGAAGGAGGCGAAGACAGGAATAACCCCACATATCAATAGGATCCGTATACTCTGCTTAGCACACTCCCCCCATCTATGGGCTATTATACAGTACTGGATTTTAAGGATGCATTCTTCAGTTTAATACTAGCAGAGAAGAGACAAGAAATCTTTGCCTTCGAATGGGAAGATTTACAGAAAGGGATATCGGGACAGCTTATTAATAGCGGGAGCGACTGAGGAGGACTGTAAAAGGGGTACTGAAGATTTACTACAGAGTCAGCGCCAAGAAAGCACAGATCCAAGGGAAGCRGTGGCTGACAGCCACTATGAAAGAGACTATGCTGCATATCCGCAAACCACGATCGGCCCAAGGAGTATGGGAACTCCTGGGCTCAGTGGGCTATTGTCGGTTGTGGATCCCGGGATTTGCTGAAATAGCAAAGCCACTTTATGAAGGAAACTGGGAGTCTCAGGAGTGGATATGGACTCGAGAAATGAAAGAGGCTTTTGAAGCCTTGAAGCAGGCATTGCTAGAAGCCCCTGCCC